GGGGCCTGCGAACCAAAGGGTCACCAGTTCAATTCCCTCCTGGGTTGTGGGCCAGATCCCCAGTGCGGCCAGTGAGGTAGGCAACCACACATTGATATTTCTCTCCGTCTCTTCCTCCCTCCCTTCCCCTCTTTAAAAAAATAAATAAAATATTGAAAAAAAAAGAAAGAGGCCTTTCTCATTTTTATGGCTGGGATGGGGAACAATCTGTCAGCAATCAGGCAGGTTTTTCCCAAGACAAAAAGGAGACTTATCCCAAAAGGTGAGTCAGGGGCATTTCCAAGGAGCCAACTACTCTGCTCTCCCCAATTTCTACTAGGCTTGACCTTTTTTGGCTAAAATAATACTTTAGTACCACATCTTTGCCAAAATCACTTCTCATCTCTCCTACCCAAAGTGAAAAGGAGTCCTGGGCCCCTCTCTCCCCCACCAAGAGCAGAGACAAATCTCTAGAATAAGGGAAGATTCTTTTTGACAACAGATTTAAAGGGTTAAGATGCAGAAAGAAACTAACATTTGCTAAACTCCTACTATGATTTAATGACCACTCTACTATGGACCAATTACTACAACTGAAACAGTTAATACACATAAGTCACTTAGTACAGTGCCTGGCACATAGTTAAGACCACATAAATATTAACTTTAACAATTATTCTTATTGTCATTATTTGTCAGGCTTTGTTAGACCTTGTCTATACTCTTCCCTTTATTCCTCACATCTGTTTTTACTTGGGTATCACTGTCCTCATTATAAAAGTCAAAGTACCTATGACTCAGAGTAAGCGAATACTTGCTCAAGATCAGTAACAACTGAGAAGAGGTGGAATTTAACTCAGGCGATGATCCTTCCACTGCAGCAGGGGGTCTTCAGAGACTTGGAGCCTAATGAGACCTGATCAGCTTCCCTCTTTTCCAAATATTGAGACTGCCCTGCATGGGCCACAACTTCCTTACCCACACAGCCGATGGTCACTACCCCATCCTTGTAGCGCTCTCGGGTTAGGCTGGCTGGCTCCATTGCTGAGTCAGACTGCTGCTCTACCAGGACTGCTGGCCCATCATCCTCTTCCTCCTCCTCACCAGAGCCATTGCCCCAAGTGGCCCCCGCCACATCACGGGCAATCTTCTCCCGCCAGCTGCTCAAATCCACTGCTCAGGGAAGGAGAAGACGAAAGTTTTCCCCAGGGCCACCACATACCATGGCACATACTATGGTGGCACAGCTGGTATAACCAATACCCTCTGGAGTAGGATAGTGCCAACCTGTACCATGGATGACTTCCCAATCTTCACTTGACCCCACCCTGGAATCACATGCATTTCTCTGTCAAAGTTTTCTGAAAAGTCCTGGGAAGCCTGATAGCAGCTATACTAGGGCTCCTGCCTACCTGCTGCCTCTCTGGTCCCACCAAGCCAGTCTTCCATTCTTCCCCATGGCCCCTCGCCACTCCTCCCCAATAGAGGAGTTGATTTTGACAAAGGTGAGCAAAATGACTCTGGGCCTTGGATCTCCCCCATGGCCTGCCACATCTTCTTCTAAGGGGCACAAACCTTTCCCTGCAGTGATGGCTTCACAGGCTCTCAGCAACTGCTCCGGCCCCAGGGCCCGAGTCCATCCTCTCCCCCGCCTCCGGCTCTTCTTCAAAACTGAGATCCAAGGGTCCAAAAGGGTTAGCACACCCCATCTCTGCCACCACCCTCAGGTCCAAAATCAGGTACTTCATTGTCAACAAGCCTCTCTTTTCTCCCCTTTGTCCCCTGCCACACCACCTCTCCCATGCTGCCCTCTTCATTTCCCACTCACCACTACTAGGGTCCTGTGGGATGCGGGGGTCCCGAGGGAAAGAGGTGAAAAGGACGATATGGAGCTGGGGAAAGTGCTGGTGGAAATAATGCTTCCAGGCAACCACGAGAGCCGGTGGGGCCAGATCCACCTTGTTCAGGACCAGCACCAGGGCCAGCCCAAGTTCTCCAGTCACATACTCGTAAAGTGCTGGTGGGAAATTCACAACCTGGGATAGGGTTGGTAAGGGGATGAGCAATGAGAGGTCAACCCAGAGCTCTCTGCCTCTAGCTCCCCACTCAGCAGTCATAGCTTGGAGACAAAACCCTGGTGGTAGCAGAGTCTGGGGCAAAAAGGATAAATCAGCCAAACTGAACTAGAAAGACAAAACAGGGGTTAAGTAATACCTGTGCATTTCTGTAGGAGTGTGTGTACAACTCATTAACGACCTCCAAAAGAGGTCCTCTACACATCCCTCACAGACCTCCCTTCCTCCCACTGGAAGACAACAGTGAAGTGGCAAAGCAGATCCACACAAGGGCCATCCAGCAGCAGAGTTTAGAGCCCTAACCACCGCACCCCCCACACACACATTCCAGGTGAGTCCTGTGCTCACTGATGTGGCAGGGCAAGGGGAAGCTCCCAGATGCCTTCATTACATCCCCGAGAACTCCACTCTGGGATTTTCTACTGGTTTAGCTCAGCTGGGCTGGCAAACAAGATATGCAGTTTTTCTTTCTTTCTTTCTTTCTTTTTTTTTTCATTTTTATCCTCACCTGAGGCCATGCTTAGTGATTTCAGAGAGAAGGGAGGGAGGAAGAGAAACATCAATGTGAGAGAGAAACATCTATGGGTTGCCTCTTATATACGCCTCAACAGGGGACCAGAGCCATAACCTAGGCATATGCCCTGACCAGGGATCAAACCTGAAACCTTCTTCTGGTTTATGGGACGACCAACTGAGCCACACTGGCCAGGGTAGGCTACGCAGTTTATCATCAAAGGAATAACCAAGAGGAGAATCAGTTGGCCAGGAAAGAAAAGACAGGCTGTGGCCCTGATGAATAAAGGACTGAGTCCCTGACTGCAGACATCAGCACAGGATAGAGGATACTAGAAGGAAGGTGGATACCTCTCTGTCTCCCAACTCCTGCCTCTGCCCTTAACCCCACAAGAATCTTTCTCCCTCCTCCTGCTTGCCCAGCCTCATCCCAATACTCACTGGATGTCGGACATCAGTGATCAGCAGGACAATGTCAGACATCTCTAACACTCGCCACAGTTGCCTCCACGTCTGAAAAGACAAAGTCAGTGGAAGAGACCCTGAGCCTAGAGTCCCTTTCCTGCCTTATTCCAGGCCAATTTGACCCTAGGTCACTATGCTCTACTCCTGTCCCCTTTCCATTCTCACCTCCAGATTGTGCTCAAAGTAGCTAAGTTTCTCTGACATGTAAGCCCCATGAATCTTCCCAAGATACTCCTGGAAGCTCCGTTCCTCCTGACTCATTAGTTGTTCCTTGGACATCTCATAGTTCCAAGGGGGACGTCGAGGAAAGTCCAGCACTGCAAAATCAAGAAAAATCCAAGTAAGCCTGAGAATAGTTTCAGGTCTCCACAGTGAATCCCAGACCCCTCCTTCCTCACAGTCAGTTTTTACTCTTCCACACTCCTTCCCCCTGTCCAGTGCTTGTCCCAAACATCCAGGTGTTGAATTCTCACTAACCTGAACCAGGCTGATAGACTTCGTGGATGTCCAACTCCAGCACCTCAGCACTGACGGGCTGTAGCACTTGCTCCCGGGCTGCTCTCTTTCTCCTCTCCACCTCCTCCCTGCTGTCCCGTTCAAAATGCAGTCGGTATCTATGGAAACAAGAACCAAAGCATCCATCACAATCCTGTGGCCACAAACTCCCACTTGCACAGACAACTTCGCTAAGCTTCTCTCCAAGGTTGTTTGCCTCCTCTCTGAGTCGCTCTTTCACATAGTATTCTCACCCTCAAGTCCCTCTTTCACATAGTATTCTCACCCTTCTTAATCCAAACTCTCTCCACCCCTCCGGAAAGGAAGACTGTAGCCCGCGTGAACTCAGCGGGACTCAGCATGGTTCTCGCAGAGAACCATGGCATCCCAGCCCCACCACCTCCAGTTTCAAGCCTTCACCAGTGGCAGCCGGCTTTCCCCCTAACCGTCTGACTTCCTGGTAAGTGAGGAAGGCCCACTCTCACCGATTTGGGTCATAGCCTCGCGGGCCCAGACCCTGGGAAGGCTGCTGGTTGAGCCTACGGATGTGATGGGTCACACACTCCCCGTCCGAGGTGTCGGTCTGCTCCTCCCGCCGCTCCCGGCTCCCGCTGCGGCTGTTGGAACTGGATCGCAGCCCATCTTGAAGCCCTGCGGGGAGGAGCTGGTGACGCCAGTGCTGGTCGCCTCTCTGGATCCAAAAGATCCCCTCCCCACTCGGCCTTGCCCCCCCTCACCCCACCCCCACTTCTTTTGAGGCCCGATCTCTCACACAACCTGCTCAGGACCCTCCTGGATGTGCATAAGGGTAGTCACTCCTCCTCCCGGGATCTGCGGGGATGGCGCCCATTCGAGCAAGAGGGATTCCCTTCCCCCAACTCTCCATCCTTCCCCCACTTTCATGTTAAGAGTGTTGGGATGAGAGAATCCCCGCCGCAGTCGCCCGCCAACGTGGGTGCGCCGCCACCACACCCTCCCACGCCCCCCAGAGATGCAGAGGGCACACCCCTCCTTCCAGCTGTGCAGGAGCCCGAGCCCCGCCCCCTCCTCTCGCTACCGCACTGACCTCGCTTCCGCTCGCGCTTGTCCTGCAACTGTTTCTTTTTCTGCTTCACACTAAAGGGCTTCTTCCTCGGCATGGCCCGGACCAGTCACCTGGCCCGCCCTTCGCCGAGCTCCCGCTGCCTCAACTGACTCCCCCTCCCGGGGCAGCCCCGCCGCGGAGGCTGGGGACCCTCCAGGGGGCGGGGCTAGGCGGTGACGTCAGCGGGCAGGCCCGGACGATTCGCCCCAGTAGCCCGGCTGGAAGGCGGGCGGAAGGGGGAATACAGTCACTTCCCTCCGGGAGCGAGGCGAGATGATGTAGGGCGGGCTCCCGGAACGTGAGAGCCAGTGGCGCTGAGAGAACACAGCGGCGGCGGGGAGCGAAGTGCGCGTGGGAGGATCGAGCTGGCTTTGTCACGGACGCTACCACCTTGCCCTTGGAAGAGGGGGGATATGTGTCATCAATACCTACGCGCCTGGGAGAAGCTACCACTCACCTCGAGGGGCTGTGGAACGGCAGGCGAGTCCTACTACGTGGGAAGAGAGGGGCGTGGACACGCCGCAGCTACTTTCCCAGCCCCGGCGCTTGACCAGAAAAGGCTGAGACTGTGCGCCGCAGATTGGAGACCAGTTCTGCGTTACTCTGTGGGTAGGGTCAGAAATCTAAAACGGTGGGAGCGGTCTAAAGCATCCTGAGCGCAGCCCTGCTGGGACCCAAATTACTGGTGGGAAGAATGCGAAGAAGAAGGTTTACAGATCATAAGGGCAAGCACGGGCGGGCGAGGAGGGAAACCCAGATGTTACTAGGGCTTTGAGGGGAAGGTCAGAGGTCACGAAGTTGTGCGCGCAGCTGTTACCATAGTAACCAGGGGCCGGATGTGGCAGTCTTTGTGTGCGACAGCCCTCTTCTCAGACCTAGCTCGAGAGCCTGAGGACTCTTGTACACTGAGAAGCCGGTGGTGGAGGTTTTTTCAGCAAGGGAAGAAGAAAGGAATTTTTAAGCACTTATAGAAGCGCAGCGAAGGAAAGGTTTGAGATTGCCGCTGTGCCTGACAGAGACCGAGGGAGGCGGCTGACGTGAGAAAGCCTCACAAAGGCACCCACACCCTTCCGGAAACTAAATGGGGGCGCCTCAGCTTCCACGTCCACCGCCCCCGGAAACGGAAACAATCCCAGTGTGCCCCTTCACCGTCCTCCAAGTCCCGTTGCAGCCATTGCAGGAACTACCATGCCCAAACGAAAGAAGCAGAATCCGCAGCAGCAGCTGACGCTGGACCCCCAAGTGCCAAAGCGGGAAGAAATTGGAGACGAAGACAATGGAATTCCTACGGGTGAGGAGCACGGGAGAAGTGTGCACAGGCCTGTCAGCAGATGGAGGCGAGGACTTCAGGGCAGAAAGGTGCGGGGGAGGGGGCTCCAACGGAAGGAGGAAGGGCGCACGAGCTGAGGCTCGGGGCGGGGGGGGGGGGTGGAGGGGATGGTGTTGAGGGGTCTATCCAGGATGGAGCCCTGAAGGAGATCTGTTACTCGAACCCTCAATTGCAATTCGGCTCCTAAATCTTTTCAAAGGAGGATGGGGAAGAGAGGCTATAGAGCTCGTGTGCGCTGCCGCAGAGAGGGTCCTTAGAGAGGTTGCAGGTTACGGTGACTGGAATAAGAGTTTGTGACCAGACGTTCACAGGGAAGGTGGAAGTGTATCTTTTAAACTATTGGGGGGAAGCTGATTGGCCATCAGTTAAGCAAAAGGGTCTGGATACTTTGGATAGCAACAGTGTCAAAGAAAGAAAAAATGGTGTGAAAACTAACGCTGCTAAGAACATGCCTGGTTTTCCCGTGGATTAAGAAATGAGTAAAGGATTCCCATGGCTGGTGTGGCTCAGTGGATTGAGTGCTGGCCTGTGAACTAAAAGGTCGCCAGGTGCAATTCCCAGCCAGGGCACATGCCTAGATTATTGGCCAGATCCCCAGTAGGGGATATGTGAGAGGCAACCACACATTGATGTTTCTCTCCCTCTTTTCTCCCTCCCTTCCTCTCTCCCTAAAAATTTTTTTTAAGAAGAAGAACAGGGTCATTAGTCCCTCAGTTCATTATAATGACCATATTTTTGTCTCCTCTTAGGACCACCCAGCCTTCTGGGCCCTCCCCCCATGACCAATGGAAAGCCTGGTGAGCCCAAGTCAGGTGAGGAGGAAGGGACCCAAATCCTTTGATTATGCCCTAGAGAAGGGAACAAGGGAAAAACTAAAACCTAGGAAAGACTTAAAAGCAAAAGATCAGGGATTTGGCACCTAAATGAAGAGATGTTATGTATTCACAGATTGGAAAACTCAGTGTTGTAAAAATGTCACTTCTTCATAAATTAATCTGTATATTCAGTGCATTCCCAGTTATAATCCCTATAATTTTTGTAGAAGTCAACATTCTGCATTATTATATGGAAACGCAGAGGATCAGGGTGAGAGACTGCAGACAATCTTGAAGTGAAAGGGCTTGCTCTGAATATCAAGACCTAGTGTAAAGCTAGTTATGATGTGTTGTTGAAGCAAGGATAGACATGTAAGTCAATAGAACAGCATAAAGGGTCCAGTAATAGGCCCACACATATCTGAAATAGTGGTCTTTTAAGTTAATGATGATAGATTAATTAGATATTCATATGGGGGAAATGAAATTCGACTTATTCATACCGTATACAAATATCAATTCCAATCTAGATCTAAGTGTAAAAGATAAAGAAATAATCCTAGGAAATAAGTATATTACATTGTCTTAGAGTAGATAAGAGTTCTTACACAGGAAACACACACTAACCATAAAGATTTATAAACTGAACCACATTAGAAAATAAACTTCTGTTATTCAAATGGCACCATTAAGAAATTAATAGAGTAGAAGATACGTACAACAAATATAAGCAATAAGGAGCTCAAATCTAGAATATATGAAGAACTCTTATGGACAGCCTGTTAGAAAAATGGTAAAAGACTGGAATAGCCACCTCATAAAAACTGAAATCTAAATGGCAAAAACAAGTGAACAAAACATCATTAGTTGACAAATAAATACAAGATAAAAGCATACCATTCTGAAATTGAAGTGCTTGTACACTGTTGATGAGATTATAAAATGGTACAACCACTATGGAAGACAGTATGGAAATTCCTCAAAAAATTAAAAATCAACCTTGGCTTGGTGTGGCTCAGTAGATTGAGCACTAGCCTACGAACCAAAGGGTTGCCAGTTCAATTCCCAGTCAGGGCACGTGCCTGGGTTGCAGGCCAGGTACCCCGTAGGGCTGTGTGAGAGGTAGCCACACTGATATTTCTCTCCCTATTCCTTCTTCCCCCCTCTCTAAAAATAAACAAATAAAAAAATAACACTTAAAAAAAACTTCAGACTCAGCAGAATTGCAGAATATCAAAAAGATTGACAGTATCCAGTGTTGTCAAGGCTATGGAACAACCGCTAGTGAGGGTACAAATTGGTACAACCACTTTGTAAAAAGTTTGAGACTTTATTAAACTTGAGCGTACATATACTCTAGGACCCAGTAATGCCTCTACTAGATATAACTCAACAGAAATGCTTACATATGTTAACAGAGACATGTATAAAAATGTTCATAGCATTTTTCGTTATAGCCCCAAACTGGAATCTACCCACATGTCCACCGTCAGTAGAATGGATAAATAAGTTGTGTGTACTTGCAATTGGATACTACACTGCAATGAAAACGAACTCCTGCTGCAGGCAACCTGGATGAATCTCACAAACATGATGTTGAGCAAAAGGAGTCAGACACAAAAGAATGCAGACTGTATGATTCCACCTATGCAAAGTTCAGAAAACTAACTGGCAAAAACTAACCTATGGTGCTAAAAGTCAGGACAGTGGTTACCTTTGGGGAGGAGGTTAATAATTAATAAGGTCCTATCCCTTCACCTGGGTGGTGAAAACACAAATGTGTTTACTTTGGTGATAATTAAGTTGTGCACTTGAAATTGGTGTATTTTTTGTATGTATAATGTACTTCAATAAAAAGTAAAAAAAAAATTAGGGCTTATCAGGTTTAAGTTAGCCATTGATCACCTTTCCATGGTGTCTCTCTCTCCCCCTCTCCCCCTCTCCTCCTCTCCCCCTCACTCTAGCTCTTCACAGAGGTCCTCCAGGATCAAGGGGACTGATGATTCCACCACTGCTGACTCTCCCACCTCCTCTCCGGGGCAGAGTCCCAGTTTGGGGAGACTTTGCCCCCAGGTGTGGCCCATATGGTCGTGGTTGGTGGGGAGTCAGTGCTGAGCCTCCTTTTCCCAGACTAGGCCATAGTAATCCCTCCAGAGGAAGCTTTCACAAAGAACAGAGACAACCTCGAAGGCTCAAAAGCTGGTCACTTGTCAAGAATACCTGCCCTCCCAAGAATGAACCCCAGATTATGGAAGGTGAGGCCCATTTTTTTTATGCCTGTGTACATTTAATACCCATCACTCCCGGAGTGATCATGACTCTTCTTTTGGGCTGTCCTTTGTTTTCTTGAAGTATGGGAGTAGCCCTGAATGTTTTTTCTCCTAGGAGAAAGACTACCATTTCAGAATATCTGGAAATGGTAGGAAGTAGGAAGTCTGACCGCCCTCTGTATCTCTACTCTGTTACATTTATTTCCTTTCTTACATTTTAAATTGACCCATTTTCACGTGTTCACAGACAAATCTGACCGCCCTGTTTGCCGACACTTTGCCAAAAAGGGCCACTGTCGATATGAGGACCTCTGTGCCTTCTACCACCCAGGCGTCAATGGACCTCCTCTATGAGACTGCCTTCCCATCCAAACTGGAAGGAGCCCTCCTTGACCTAGCGGCCACATATTTCCCTGTGGCCCTGTGATGGCTACTGTGATGTTGTTCAACCCACCACCTCCCAGTCAGTGACACCCACCCCTGTCCACCACCTCTCCCATTTGGGGTCCAGAGTTGTATTTCATCACTGGTGTACAGTGTGCACTCTTCTGATCAGCCTCCAGAGACTTGCCTTCAATATCCCATCTTTGTTCCTTTCAACTGCTTCCTGGATCCTCTCTCCCTTGCCAACTGACTGCTAAGCAGGAAATTTACTTGGTGCTGTTTCTTGTGCAATTGTCCATCGAGCCCCCAGTATTGCCCTCAATTCCTGAGCCCTGGAGCAGTTTCCTACCATTCCCTCCTTCTAGCTGCTTGTTTTAAGTCCTTTATATGTGATATCACCTGCTCCCAATGTTAGCAGCTACTCTGTGGATCTCCCCAGGTTGTCTGACCTGGGGTCAAGTTTCAGTGACTAGTACAGAGTCACTCCCTGAAAAGCCACTGTCCCTGCTTTTGGATTTTGTCGTTTCGCCATCAGTAGCATGGCCTCTACCACTGTGGTCTGTGATCACTGTGCTTTGTGAAACCCGCATTCCCTCGTAGGCTTTTTCAGTGTCCATGGCATTTCTGTGGTTTAACACACTATATACAGTATTTCTGCCAAAATGAGTGAGGTTCTTGGTGCCCTCTAGACTTTCCCCAATCCCCAACCCCAAAACGGGAGAACTGTGAAACTTCCCACAAGAGTGCTTCCTTGGCCTCATGAGATTTCCTCTAAAGCCTCTGGTGGGCCTACCCCATCCCCTCTACAGCTCATTTTAGTTAGACTGCATCATTGTGAGGCCACCAGGCTTTTTTGTTGGAATTCTGTGAATCTCCACCTGGCCTGTCTTTGGGTGGAACCTGAACAGTATTGTCCTTGCCCAGCCTCTACTTCCCTGGCACTGGTTGTTTTCTGTGAAAACAACAGTGAACAGGCTCAGTTTTGAACTGACCCTGAAGATGTGGGTCAGGAGTTGTTAGGGCAAGAGGAAGGGCTGTTGAACTGAAAGTGAATTTTTTCTTTTTAAGATATTTTATACTAGTAATAAATGCAGTGGAAATGAACATTTTCTTTAATTCCTATGTTCCAGTCATCTCTGGAGGTGCAGATGAAGCTATTGGTGAAGTCATTCCTTTTTTTTTTTTTTTTAAGCATTTTTAAAAGATATTTATTTGTTTGTTTGTTTATTTATTTATTTTTAGAGGGGAAGGGAGGGAGAGAAACATCAGTGTGTGGTTGCCTCTTGCATGCTACTGGGGACCTGGCATGCAACCCAGGCATGTGCCCTAGACTGGGAATCGAACCAGCAACCCTTTGGTTTGCAGGCCGGCACTCAGTCCACCAAGCCATGGACCAGCTAGGGCTTGAAGTCATTAACACTTCATTTAGTTCATACACAGTGGTGATGGAGAAAGGCAAAGCTTACGTTTCTTCCAGGCTGAAGGAACCAGTAGGGGTCCCATTAACTAGACTAGGCTGTGCTATGTTAAGGGTAAAGTTTTGTGGGGAAAAGGAATAGCCAGGTATCCATGGAGTAATTTTTAAACATCTGTGAGTATAGGCTTGATATTTATGGAGTGGTGATGACAGCAGTCTTTCAATAAATATTTGTTAGGCCAGGCACTATATTAGGGACTAGAGACAGCAGCCAAAACCAATGAGTTGAAAATCCACAGGGTAGGATGTGTTCATCGGCAAAAATCACAAATATACCCTGGCTGGTGTGGCTCAGTTGGTTGAGCACCTGGCCTGCAAACCAAAGTGTCATTGGTTCAATTCCCAGTCAGGGCACAAGCCTGGGTTACAGGGCTGGGTCCCCAATAGGGGGAATACGAGAGGAAACCACACATTGATGTTTCTCTCCCTCTTTCTCCCTCTCTTCCCCTCTGTCTAAAAATAAAATCTTTTTAAAAAATCACAAAAAGCCCTGGCTGGTGTGGCTCAGTGGATTGAGCACTGGACTGAACCAAAGGGTCATTGGTTCAATTCCCATTCTGGGCACATGCCTGGGTTGTGGGCCAGGCCCCCATTAGGGGGTGCATGAGAGGCAACCACACAGTGATGTTTCTCTCCTCTTTCTCTTTAAAAATAAATATTTTTTTAAAAATCACAAAGTGTAAAGTTAGCCTTGTCAAAATGCTGTAAAGAAGCAAGACATGATGAAAGGGAGAGTATGTGATAAAGGGAACCTCTGAAGATGACAACAGGCAAGCTCTGAAGGATGAGCAGGAGGTGAAGTGGGACAGTTCAGTCCAGGCAAAGGTGAGAGACAACTTACAATAAAAGTTGCGGGATATAAAATCAATGTAGAAATATCCACAGTTTCCTATATATTAACAACAAAACCAGGATAGAAAAAAAAATCCTTTTGCAATTGCAACCAAAAAGACAAAATACCTAGGAATAAACTTAAAGGACATGAAACACCTCTATACTGAAAATTACAATGTATTATTAAAAGAGATAGGAAAAGACACAACAACATGGGAAAATGTTCTGTGTGTATGGATTGGAAGAATCAATATAGTTAAAATGGCCATTTCAAAAGCAATATACAGATTCTATGTAATTCCCATCAAAATACCGCTGTCTTTTTTAAGAAACAAAAATATCAGGTTTATATGGAAACACACACAAAACCCAAATAGCCAAAGCAATTCTGAGAACAAGCTGGAGGTATCACACCACCAGGCTTCAAGTTATATTACAGAGCTAGGATAATCAGAACAGCATGGTATTGGCAGAAAACATCGGTGAAAAAGAATTGAGAACCCCAATATCAAACTACATGTATATGGACAGATAATTTTTGACAAAGGAGCCAAAAACACAATGAAGGGGAAAAAGTCAAAAAATGGTGCTGGGAAAATTGGAAAGCCATATGCAAGAGAATGAAACTAGACTATTGTTTGTTCCCATGTACAAAAGTCAATTGAAAGTGGATTGTGCCCTGGCTGGTGTAGCTCAATGGATTGAGTGTGGGCTGTGAACCAAAGGGTTGCTGGTTTGATTCCCAGTTGGCACATGCCTGGGTTGCAGGCCAGGTCCCTATTGGGGGCCATGTGAGAGGCAACCACACGTTGCTGTTTCTCTCCCTCTTTTCCTCCCTTCCTCTCTCTCTAAAAATAATTTAAAAACTAATACTAAAATGTTTTTAGAAAAGAGTTGCTTTAAAAAAACTGGATTAAACTTCCAGCCAAGATGTAGGCATAGGTGGACATACCATACCTCCACGGACAACCAAGATTGGAATAATAATTTAGAGGCAGAATAACACCCAGAACTGACAGAAAATTTATCTGAATGGAAGTCAGACAGCCAAGAAGTTGAAGTAGACCTGTTCATCCAGACCCGTAGGAGGGGCGGAGAGGAGCAGTGGGGCGCGGCGCGCGGAGAACAGGGAGAACTGGGCACATAAGCCATCTGGGACATGCAAGATCTCAGCGGGTGGACCCTGAGTACGCAAGCGGCAGCTGGCAGACCCAGTGAGGCCGTGATTGTGCAGCAGGGCAGAGCGCGCAACCCAGGATCCCAGGGAAGGGACTGAGGTACCACGGAGAACAGAGCTACCTCCATTGTTCCCTCTCAACCCCACCCTCACATACAACATCACAATCTAGTGACTGGGGTGCCCAGCCCTGGTGAACACCTAAGGCTCCACCCTTCACCATGACAGGAGCGACCAGGCCAAAAAAAAAAAAAGAGAGAGAGAGAGATTGGGGAAGTTCTCCTTTATTATTTGGCTCAAACAAAAGAACAGATCAATGCCCCAGAACTCATCCTTTTGAGTGATCAAGAGATAGCTAACCTATCAGATGCACAGTTCAAAACACTGGTGATCAGGAAGCTCACAGACTTGGTTGATTTTGGTCGTAAATTAGATGAACAAATGCAGGTTGCCATAAAAAAATGAAGGAAAATGCACAAGGAACCAATAGTGATGGGAAGGAAACTGGGACTCACATCAATGGAGTGGACCAGAAGGAAGAAAGAAACAACCAAACAGGAAAGGACAGAGAAATAAGGATCCAAAAAAAACAAGGAGAAGCTTAGGAACCTCCAGGACATCTTTAAACATTCCAACATCCAAATTATAGGGGTACCAGAAGGGGAAGAGGTAGAGCAACAAGTGGAAAAGTTATTTGAACAAATAATAAAGGAGAACTTCCCCAATATGGCAAGGCAAATAGACTTCCAGGAAGTCCAGGAAGCTCAGAGAGTCCCAAAGAAGTTGGACCCAAGGAGGAACACACCAAGGCACATCATAATTACATTAGCCAAGGTAAAAATGAAGGAGAGAATCCTAGAAGCAGCAAGAGATAAGGGGACAGTCACCTACAAAGGAGTTCCCATCATACTGTCAGCTGATTTCTCAAAAGAGATCTTACAGGCAAGAAGGGGCTGGAAAGAAGTATTCCAAGTCATGAAAGACAAGGACCTATATCCCAGATTACTCTATCCAGCAAAGCTTTCATTTAGAATGGAAGAGCAGATAAAGTGCTTCTCAGATAAGGTCAAGTTAAAGGAGTTCATCATCACTAAGCCCTTACTTTATGAAATGTTAAAGGGACTTATCTAAGAAAAAGAAGATTAAAAAAAACACATGTACAGTAAAATGACAGTAAACTCACAATTATTAACAACACCTAAAGAAAAACAAAAGCAAACTAAGCAAACAACTAGAACAGGAACAGAACCACAGAAATGGAGATCACATGGAGGGTTAACAACAGGGGAGTGGGAGGAGGGGGGGGGAAGGTGCAGAGAATAAGTAGCATAGATTGTAGGTTGAAAATAGATAGGGGGAGGGTAAGAATAGTATGAGAAATGTAGAAGCCAAAGAACTTGTAAGTATGACACATGGCCATAAACTAAAGGGGGGGAAGTGGGTGGGAGAGGGTGTACAGGGTGCAGGGAAGTGAAGGGGGGAAATGGGACAACTGTAATAGCATAATCAATAAAATATATTTTTAAAAAACTGGATTAAAGACTTAAATGTGAGATCTAAAGCAATAAATTACGTAAGAGAAAATATAGGTACTAACTTTAAGGGCCTTGGTTGTGGAGAACATTTTATGTGTTTGACCCCAAAGACAAGGGAAGCAAAGGCAAAAATAAGTGAATGGGACTATGTGAAATTAAACAGCTTCTGCACAGCAAAAGAACTGACAACAAAATATTGACCAACTGAATGGGAGATATTTGCAAATAACAGCTCCTATAAGGGGTTAATATCCAAAATATATAAAGAACCCATACAATTCAACACCAAACAAACAAATAATTAAAAAATGGGCAGAGGACCTAAACAGACACCTCCCCTCAAAAGACACAAGCAGTGAACAGATTTATGAAAAGATGTTCAACCTCACTAGCTATTAGGAAGATGCAAATCAAAACTACAATGAGATACCACCTCATACCTGCTAGAATGGCTATTATCATCAAGACAGGTAATAATGTGTTGGAGAGGTTGTGGAGAAAAGGGAACTCTCATTCACTGCTGGTGGGAATATATATTGGTACAGCCACTGTGGAAAATGGTCTGGCAGCTCCTCAGAAAATTAAGAATAGAGTCACCATGTGACACAGTAATCCCCCTCCTAGGTATCTACCAAAAAAACTCAAAAATATTCACAAAGATATATGCATCTCTATCATTGAAGCATTATTTGCAGTGGCCAAGACATGGAAACAACCAAAGTGTCTTTCAATAGAAGATTGGATAAAGAAGATGTGGTACATTTATGCAATGGAATATCACTCAGCCATAAAGAAAAGATGAAATACTGCCATTTGCAACAACATGCATGGATCTTGAGAATATTATGCTAAGTGAAATAAGTCAAAAACTAAGAACCATATGATTTCACTCGTATGTGGGATATAAAACTGAAACTCATGGACACAGACAGCAATGTGGTGGTAGCCAGAAGGAAGGTAGTGGAGGGTAGGAGGTGGAGGGGACCTAATATATGGTGACAGAAGATAGATTGACTTTAGGTGATGGGCACACAATGCAATATACAAATCTAGTATCATAGTAATGTACACTTGAAATCTA